GTTTTTTATTCAGTGTTTACAGTTTTTTTTACTTATATCTGTGTTACTTGGGAGCCCGAGAGTATGTGCAATTTCAGTTCCTCAATATGTCTGTGTATGCATTGCAGAAATAGACAATAAAGCTGACTTTGAAAGGTTTCCTGTAAGCAGAGCTCAGGGACTGAAATGAGTCACTGAAATGTGTGGTGTGATTCGGTCCTGTAGGAACCCACTGTGCAGGATCCTGGTGCTAGACCCTCCTTATGACGTCTAACTGGTCTAATGTTGTAACAAGTCCGTGGTCACTGCAAAAACACATGACACATGAGTGAGGTATCTCACCAGAGCACCATCCTTGCCTGGAGCGAGGAAGAGGTGTGCTTAGATTGAGATAGTGATGTGAAGGTTTTTGAAAGTTGGAGGAAGACCCCCCCCTCCAAAGGGTCGATGTCACATCTGCAGGCCAGTCAAGACGGCCGCAGTGTAAAATTGCTTCTGGGGGACAGTGCGGAGGGAATGTCTCATAGTGATATACCTCGCTCATGTTTCAGAGAACTGGGTTCATTTCTTAAACTGATGTGTTGTGGAGAGTCTCAATGTCAGATTTAGTTTGGTGAATGTCAGGACATCACATTTTAACGTCATGTAACACTTCAATAGGAAGAATATAGAAGTTGAGTAGTTTCAAATAGTTTTCTGAAAAGTTACAGTCAAAGCAGCTACCTGGAATGGAACAGATGTTATCCTAAAGTGCTGATAGATGTGTGGTTTTCAGAGGGAAGACTGTTCTATATCAGGAGTGTTATTCTGGAGCCAGGCAATGTACTGCAGATGGCTTCAGATGTTCCTTTTGTTCCCACTGATAAGTGAAGCTGCAGACATTCTTATGGCTGAGCATTATTTGAACCCAGCGTGCAGGCAGTATTTTAATTTTAGAGGCAGTATGCTGCCAACCTATTAAAAGCAATTTGTTCATACATTGAGCAACTGTGACATTGGTCCTTTAAACAATGTTGATTTCTTATGAATATTTGCTGTTGCTGCCCTGAAGTAGAATTTTCTCCCATGATACTTTTTCTGGAACAGAAGAATAAATAGTAATAATAATATCGCGTAAATGAACACACACACATCACTGGTGTGTTTATCTCGGTATATTTCTTCAGGGATTCCCTCTGAGCCAGATCTAATCTATGTAACTGGATGGATTAGGTTATAGATTATTAATCTAAAGATGGATGGGGATGCCAAGATGGTTGAGCCTCCAGGTTTTCGTTCTGCAACTGAATGCTAAGAAATTGATCTGCAGGATGCTGCTTGCTTCACCCTGGTCTATCGCAGTAGGGACACCTCACTGTATGTCCGGAGAGCAGGAGAATATTCCTCATTTGAAACATCTGCATCATTTGTTTGCTGACCAGCCTGGGTTTTGCTTCCAAAAAACTATGGGAGCATCTTCTGCCTGCAGAGCGTTACACATTACCTTCTAATTGTCTCAGAATGAAAAATGAAACATCACACACTGATCTTCTCTTCATCTTGTTAGTCAGCATCTCACGGTGAGCAGCTTTATTGCCTTTTCAACTCGCTCTGTTTCCTGCACATATCGTGTCACAGAGCTACCTGAATTGAGCAATCGTGAGCAGTCCTCGTCTTCACCGTGGACACTTTCCTCACTGTGTTTACCTTTGAGGATGGTTTTATTTGCAGACATTCCCAGTTTGTGTGAAGGAAGCGTGGACTACAATGAGCCTGGACTACAGATGCATACTGCCTGCTGTTTATTTGAGGCAAGAGCGTTGTTTACAGCACATAAGGGTTTAAATTTAACGTGCACATATCATGCCTCAATTATAAGGTTCTATCTGATAGTTTAAACATTATATGTGTTTATTTATATTCACTTTATTTGATTATTTAATGCATTTTTATTCCATTTGAAAACATACCATAACACATACATATAACACCAAACACAAACATTAAAACCCATAACACAAAAAAACCTGCATGCAACAGAAAAATTCAGCAGATCTTTTATTTAAAAAGTTGATAGAAATGAAAATCTATGATTAAGATGAAATTGGTAAAACAAGGGTACATTAGATCCCTAATGTTCAGTTATGTCTGTAGTGAAATCCATGATGACTAGACCAAGAACAGAGAATCACATGCAGGAATCAGGCATAACTCAAAGAGTTCAAATTCACACTGTAATGCAGACAGCAGGTCATACACAGAAAGGCAGTAAGTGATGCAAAGGTTGCAGGAAATCCCCAGATAAAAAGACAAACATGCAAAAACGAGCAAAAAGTCCAAAACAGAACAAGGCAGTAAAACTTCCTGGTCACAGCTTCAGAAACAAAAACAAGCCATGGTCATACACAGGAGGAGTACACGAGAAATAAATGCTGGAAAGCTCGACAGGCAGTACAGAAACAATCTGGCAGGGAAGTGGTGTGTGAGCAGGTACTGGGTGAGTGATTGGTGATGAGGTGAAGGCGAGTGCTGTGGTGAGAAACTGAAACAGAGCGGGTGAAGAAACAATATATAACAGGAAGTGAGAGTTCAGTACGAACGGGTTGTCATGCTTTCCCAGTTTTACTTTATTACTGAAAGTGAATAGTCGTCCACATCAAATTTGGTTGCATGAAGCCACTTTTCCCCAAAGCATCGGGTGAGGGCAGCTGTGGCTCGGGAGGTAGAACGGGTCATCCACTTACCAGAGGTTTGAAGGTTGATCACTGTCTCCCCCGTTTTGCATGCCAAAGTATCCTTGAACCCTAAATTGCCCCTGACACTTGGGCTGACAGTGTGTGAGGGATGACAGAGAAAGTGCTGCACAAAGATGCACTGTATGAACGTGTATGTGAACTGTGCGGTGAAGAGCTCTGAGTGGTCATCAAGACAAGGAAAGCTCTATATGAATACAGAGCATTTACAGTGGAACTGGCATCAAGGAAACTGAGTAAACCGATTCTGTATAAAGTTTTACACTGGCCAAGCAAACTTCTTCAACCTGATCAAATAAAATGAAAATGTGTACTTTATATACTTTTAATATTCAACTCCCTTTTTAAACTCTAATTAAAAACACAACAGAACAGAGGAGCTGGGAACAGGCTGGCAAGAATAGACATACTGACTAACCCATAGGGTTTATTTACATTTAATTACTGATCGTATCAGTTTTAATGATCAGATTTTTACCGGATGTCAGTGCCTTTGATTATCACTTGACTGTCTGATACTTTCAGGTGTGAACTTAAGCTGCAAACACACATTGGTGGATTCTTGAGAGGATTAGCAACAAATAGAAGCAAAATCTTCATAAGGCTCCAGTAAACACAAGTATACGGTTTTCTCTCCCCAGGTGTAATGCTTTTATCTTCTGCTGTATATTTTGAAGTATTTCATTGTCGAGCCTCTAATATTTGGAGAGAGTCTGCATCTGTGCTATATGACTGTTTTTATGGCTGTCTTGAATCCTCTTGTAATTACTCCTGTCTCTCCTCAAACATTTTTACTCCACTTTATCAGCTGACAAAAAGATAAAGCTGCCATGAATGTGAGTTTTAATTACGTTTTATTGTTAAGCTTCCATCTGTTGTCATCTTGTAGGCGTTGCTATATTTGTGTCGTATGATGTGCCTATTCTTTGTACTCCCTTCTGTTGCAGACAAAATACATATTAAAGTTATTGTTCTACTCGTATGGCCTGTGTCCTACACTTCAAAATGATTTATCTACATTGTTTCACTCCATATCCACTAATACTATTGTGTGTAATGATGTTTATTTCATTGTGTTGATATCCCGACAGTCCTATTGGCTCTTCATCTAATTGCAAAACCTGATTGCTCATCTGTCCTGTCCCCCCTCACAGGCCCTCGAACACACGGATTCAACACTGAGTGCAGTATTTCATTTTGAAGGGGGAAGTAAGCATGATGGCACTGGCCTGTCAGACAGCTGCAGCAAATTATGGTTTTGTGAGATGTGCTGTGGGATATTATTCTAATTAGGAGAGCGGATCAGTTAATGCTGAAGCTGAACAGAGCTGTAAGAGCAGGTCCCCACATACATGAATAGAGCCACAGTGACCCTCAGGATGAACTAAAAGAGCAGCAGGTTCCTTGTACTAGCCATCAACATTTATTGGCATGGTAGTTTAGTCAGAAGAGAGACACATTGTTGTGTCATCTTAAAGGTTGTGCCTCGGTCTGTGAATGACAAAATATTATCGCAATAAACTAGAAGGGCCCTCAGGGAACTCATACCTCCACCAAGGCTGATGCCCTATCACACCACGTAAAGAAATCCATGAGCCATCCATTAATCCTCTCCGTAATTTAAAAACTTCTTCCATGGTTACTGCCCCACCCCTCCACACATGGACATACAGACAATAATGAAAACATAACCTCCTTGATGAAGGTAACAATCATGTTTTTATTCACTAAAAATGACACAACGTGTAAATAACGATAACAATGATGGCTCAAGATGGCGACCGCCGAGGGTGAGAAGTGTCTCAACTACAGAGGAAACTGGCCAAATGAGGGCAATAGAGCACTGCCCTCCTTGAGCCACAGTAGAAAAGTTAGAAAAACTTATAACTAGTCCAGTCCACTCTAACCCTTTCTATGACTGCCTGTTTGGAATGAAATGTAAAAATGACCGGCAGCTGCAGTAAATGAGCCGAGCAAGCAAATACATGCACATGCTGCTCGTCTCAGGCCACAGAACCTTGATGCTGCACAAAGAGCTGTTCACCTGTTTATTCAAAGTTCGGTGAAGCTTGACTCAGCAGAGCCTCAGTCTGGAGAATCGTTTTTTGTTGCCGTGAACTCGACTGTTGTCAAGAACATGCTGTTGTCATGATTGAAAACATTTCTTACGTTGGTGAGTCCCAGCTGCCGCTGCTACAGAGGGCTGTTTGCCTGTCTATCTTTTAATTTTTTAAATTTTGAACATATCGCCTGTCCAAATCACACCAAATTACACTTTCTTTGGCTCTTAACAATACACATGCCGAGTGTGAAGCCAATGAGAGCTCTGGAGACATTTTTCACACAGACAGACAGATGCTGATGGAATTCATATGTAGATTTTCACCTCAGATTCCATTGCATCTGAATATCTAATCTGGCAACGGCCTGGAAGGTTTAACCCAGACCAGTACTAATGAGAGGCATTCAGGTACATTATACAAAGAGTATCAGACTGTTTCCATCCAAAATTAATTCCTTATTGAAGAATATTAC